GCGCAGGGGGGGGGGGGGGGCTTTTTGGATGCTTTAAAAAAAGCCATGTGCGTTTGCAGGGGCCAGTTCAGAGTCCATTTCGTGTAGGTGTGTTAAGTGCCATCAAGCCACCTCCAGCTTATGGTGACCCTATGAATTACCTCCAAGTAGGGCTGCCAGCCTCCAGGTGGGGGCTGGAGATCTCCCTCTATTACAACTTGATCTCCAGGTGACAGATCAGTTCAGAGACGGCGGACGCCTCGGCCGCCAGCTCCGATTACGCGGGAGGAAAACCCGAATGAACAAATGCAAGAGAATGAGAGGGTGACAACCAGTGTTCCCTCTAAGCTGAGTTAGTGTGAGCTAGCTCACAATTTTTTAGCCTCCCGCTCACACACTCACTTTTGCCTTGGCTCAGGAAGGAGGGCTCCAGAGCTAACTGATTTATGCAGTAGCCAAATCACTCACTCACAGCTTTAAAGCCAGTAATTCACAAAGCAGAATTTTTGCTCACAAGACCCCACAGCTTAGAGGGAACACTGGTGACAAGGTAGGGACCCAAACCGGAGTCCAATGAGGAACGTCCGTTTGCGTTACAAACCAATCCAAGCAAGCAGAAAACTAGCTCCGCAGGGGAGACGGCTTTTACTCCCCCGGCTGCTTCCTGGATTGAATGCCTTCAACTTTTCCTAGCATTATTGTCTTTTCTGGTGACTCTTGTTTTCTCCTCGTTAGACAGCATAAGATATTGTGTCATTTTAGCTTCTAGGGGAGCGTTCAGGCTCAATTTGATCTAGAACCCATATTTGTCTTTTTGGGCTGTCCATGGTATCCGTAAAACTCTCCTCCAGCACCCCATTTCAAATGAATCCGCTTTCTCCCAGTCAGCTTTCTTCATTGTCCAGCTTTCACACCCATACATAGCAATGGGGAATAATCTTTGATCTTGGTCACCAGCCTAAAGCTGCCCTTTGGATCCCTGCCTGTCAAATATACATTGTGGATCAGCAAAGTTGTTGATATAACCAGAACACTTGTGCAGAAATCATTCCCTCTTACCAATGGGGCTGTGTTGGTCTGTCCCCCTGTAGACACCCACTTTGTTCCCAAGGTCATGGGGGAGTGAAGGATAACCCATAATCCAGATCAGAATGGGGAAGTGTCATGTGAATGCTCAGGCAAATTCCTGATATAGGAATGCATGGCTGGGGAACGAGTGACACACCCACTTTAAATGCACTTTCCAATTGGATTTTGCCAGTTCACACAGTTGGAAAGTGCATTGAAAGTGGATTATTTAGTGTGTGTGACCGCAGCCTTAGTTTGATCTTTCCCTCTCATTCTACACTAAAGAGAAGAGAGAAGAAGAGATTGGATTTATATCCTGCCCTTCACTACCTAAAGGTGTCTCAGAGCGGCTTACAAACTCCTTTCCCTTCCCCTCCCCACAACAGACACCCTGTGAGGTAGGTGGGGCTGAGAGAAACTTGACAGAAACTGCTCTTTTTCAAGGACAGCTGTGCCAGAACTATGGCTTGCCCAAGGTCATCCAGCCAGGTGCAAGTGGAGGAGTGGGGAATCAAACCTGGTTCTCCCAGTTTAGAGTCTGCGCACTTAACCACTACACCAAACTGGCTCTCAGCACCAAATTTAATCACAAGTGTTTCGAAACCACATTACATCTAGCTGTGCATTATTTTGGTTTTAAGTCAGAGAGACCAGGGAATCAGGTGCTCTGAGAGATCGTCAACATTGGCATCAGTGTAGGTTAAAGATTACAAGCCCCGGTAATAAAAACAATAGGTGAATCTGCATTGGCTTTTCCCTCTGCTGTTTTAAGAACCCCACATTGGAACAGAAATTCTTCTCTGCATTGCATGCTGCCTTCACTTTCTTTGATCATCAGATTTTATTGTACCCTCCACACCACGTGCTGCTTTTGCTTTCTTTGATCATCGGGTTTTATGGTACCTTCTGCATCGATTTATGGCCATTCAGGGGTGACTTTGAAGTCAGTATGGCTTGCCCAGAGGTATCTGAATGTGGTTTTGAGTTGCACCTTTTCCTCCCATTTGAGAAAATGTGGAGCGAATGCTAGATGCAGAATCACTCAGCATTTGGATTCAGGTCATGTTTAGGAGCATCTGTTCTCTGCTTGAGTTCTGCCCCTCCCTCTAATAAGTGGCAGGCCTTGGCTCCACTCACTCTTATCTATGGTTGGCTGTGCCTTTCCATGAAGATCTTTGGCTTCCCTCTGATATGGGTGGGCACAGAAGCCGCCTTTTTCTCCTCCCTGCTTTTCAAAGAAGGAAAGCTTGTTTTGCTAGGGGCAGGGATCCGCAGCCTTTTATTATTAAGGAGCCAAACTAAAGTCACTGTACAGTGCGAGAGACCGACAAAGAGCCAGCATAAGAAGGCCCATTTGCCTAACTAAAATATATATAACTGAATGTGACTGACAATTGCTGTGTTGATTAACGGTTCATAAAGAATGCTGGTTGCTGCCAGACTTTTATTACTGTAGGGTTGGCTGGCTCTAGGTTCAGAAATTCCTGTGGATTGGGGGGGGAGCCTGGGGGGTATATAGGGAGGGGGGACTTTAGCAGTATATAATGTAATGGAATATATATACCCTCCAAAGCGGCCATTTTCTCCAGGGGAAATGATTCCTGATGTCTGGAGATCAGTAGTAATTCCAGAGATCTCCAGGCCCCACTCGGAGGTTGGCAACCGTATAGGAAGTGACGCACACACACACACAGAGTCTCAAAATATGCAATAAATATACACAGGAGCACCCTGTGCAACTGGTTTAGCACACATGGTTTGCACTTGGACAACACAGTTATTCAGAACCAGTATGGTGTAGCAGTTGGAATGTCAGACTAGGATCTGGGAGACCCAGGTTCGAATCTCCACTCTGCCATGGAATCAAGCCATTTTGGGTCCCTGCTAGTGAGAAAGGTGGGTATAAATGAAGTAAATAGAATTTTAAAAAGCCCATTTGTTCACCTCTACGTTACCTTTCTGTAATGCCCCTCCAAGAAGCCCTTTTCTCCCATAAAACTGTTTGCCTGCAATTCCTTTTCCATAATAGTTATTCCAGCATCCCACCTACTCCTCTGTTTTGATTTAAAGATTTAATTTTCTTTTGTAAAGAGCCATATTGAGTTCTGTCCTGAGCCACCTATGCTAGGGCCTTACTCAGCCTGGAATGGCTGCTTTTTTTCTTTTGATGCTAACATGGTGATGGCGACTATGGGCGATTGTGCATCTAGCATTTGCTCCACATTGTCTCAGCCGTCCGGGAGGAAGAAGCGAGGCTCAAAAACACATTCAAATACCTCCTCCGGGCAATGCCGCATTGTCACCCCTGAACAGCCATAAAACGGCTATAAACCTACGCAGAAGGTACAATAAAACCCATGGTCAAACGAAGTGAAAGCGGTGTGGAATGCGTAGACTACCTTAAAATCCAATGACCAAGAAGTGAAAGTGGCATGCAACGCAGAGGGGAATTTCTGAGCAAGGGAAGCCTTTACCTTTACCTTTTTGTCTCCTTCTAAAGCAGCCATTTTTCTCCTCAACTGATTTCTATAACCTGGGAACCAGTTGTAATTCTGGGAGAGCTCCAGCTACCACCTGGAGACTGGGAACCCTAAATAAGAGACTTAGGACACCCCCATGACTGACAATTTTTTAAAAATCGTGGCCTAAGCTTCCGTGGGCCCTGACTTGGACGGCCCAGGCTGGCCTGATCTTGTCAAATCTTGGAAGCTAAGCAGGTTTGGCCCAGGTTAGTACTTGGGTGGGCGACCAACAAGGAAGTCCAGGGTTGCGACGCAGAGGCAGGCCATGGCAAACCACCTCTGAGCATCTCCTGCAGGAGGCTGAAGTTGGTTCCTTATTCGCTCTTCCTTATTCATTCCTTATTCGTTACTTATTCGTGTAGTCATTCAGAAACACTAAGGAGAGTGAGTTGGAAAGCTCTGAACCCACATTCGCAGGACTCTCCCCTTCGAGGGGATATATGCGGTGTGCTGGTCCAAAGCGCGGTTCTGGTGCCAGCTGCTCCAAAGTGC